CCCCAAAACCCCAAAACCCCAAAACCCCAAAACCCCAAAACCCCAAAACCCCTCTAAAGTCTTAAAATCTTGAAATTTTTATTTCAAAAATGGGGTGTGGAACTAGCTCAAGCTCTAAGAAAGGAAACAAGAAGGAAAATATTCGGGTAAGACTCCATGCTAAGACTGCTTTGCTTGCATCAGGAATGATAATGGATTGATCCAGTTGATTCTTACAATATGTCATAAAAAATACACTATCTTGTTCATATTTTTGATTTAAAGTTTTAGCTTGGATTTATATTCTGCTAAATCATTGACAAACTAATTATTATTTAGCCAGTCAAAGCAAACGAGAGACCAGCAGCTACTGGGAAAAAGAGCGATGCTAAAGCAGCTTCTAATCAAAACATCGCACATCAGAATACAGTTGAAGAAGTCAAGAGAGAACAAAATCAAAAGGTAATTTGGAATAGCAAGCAGAACGAAGATGTAAAGGTAGCAGAAAAGGCTCCTCAAGCCCACAATGCTGAAAATGGAGATGCTATAAAGGCACCAGAAACCAACAAGCCTGTTGGAAAACTGCCTCCTTTAGGCCATCAGCCTGCTAAACTAGCTTCTGAGGCTGCTCCACAAGCCGCTGCGGCGAAACCTAAGAAGGCTAAAGTAGATTTAGCAGAACTTCGTCTTAAGGACCATGATTTCTACAAAAATCTTCTCGGGAAGAACATGTAAGTTGACTCATTACTCTCATAAACCATTTTCTAGAGATAATTTTGACGTCTTAACAAAACTGTATGAAGAAAAGGGTCAATTCCAGTACGAAGGGGACATGTTTGGCAAGGTTAGATGCTTCAAAGCCAAGACTAAAGAAGGTGAAGAATATGTCTACCATGGCCTAGCCCATCCAAGGCAGAATATTCCACATGGCGCTGGTATAAGGGTATCCTCCTTCGGAATTGTTGATGAGGGATACTTCAAGCATGGGCATAAAGAAGGCAAGCAAAGGATGCTTAATACAGCAGGAGGATGGGCAGTTGGGACTTATAAAGCCAACAAACATCATGGGGATTGGACTTTCGCTTATCCAGATAAAGACGGAGTAATCCTTGAAACTGGTAAATGCTTCAAAGGAGCTAAGGTTGGCAAATACACTCTCACTCAGCCAGATGGGACTGTGAAAGATATTGAGTTCCCTGAAGCACCATAATTTTCCAAACTTCTGAGTAATCCCCATAAAGTGTTACCATTTGAAGGAAGATGGGTAATAACTTGAAATTTCAATTTAAGGAATCAGATTGGGGTTTTGGGGTTTTGGGGTTTTGGGGTTTTGGGGT